TTTAAGTTCTAGAGGGGGGCGTAATGGTTATGTAACACCCTGTATAATAAGAAGGTTCTGTTCGTGCACATGTAAAGCATTTTTGATAATTCATTCTAGAACAAAACTCATAAGAGAGAAGAAAAAGTTGAATAAAACGATTGAAAGAAATGTTAAATAGAAGTATTCACTCCTGTGAACACATTACTTTTATATTATTATTTGTATTTGTCGTATACAACGCTAAGTGCAGTCCCTAATGAATGTACTGAGCTAAGGGTGTCTGAAAAAGTACCCTGCTACCAGTATGTCACAGGACCTTTTGGATATTGATGTACCTTAAAGTACTTTTAGGTACGTATAATGTGCTGGGGCAGGCATCCTGCTGAAAAGCGTCTAGTAAATGGATACTTGGAGGCTCTGATCCAGTGTTCAACTGAGTACTATTGTACAGTATTTTTAGGTACGCTGATACCAAAACTGAAATATGTTGATGATCGAACCTAACCTTTGATTTTTTTCATTTTTGCTTCTCTCAAAGCAATTTGTTATATTTTTTTTTCGATTTAATTTAATTTAATTTTTCTAATTTTGAAAACTCAAGCAGGTTAACCGTGATCGGCATATTCTCGACTAGTAAATAGTCAAGAAATAATCTAGAAAAAATTAGTATGAAAAAATATTAATTTCTTTTGTTTTGTCAAGTTGTTTATATAAAGCCGTGTGTGCAAAAGAAAACGGTGAATGAACAGTTGCTAAAAAGAACGTGACAAATCTATGGTGCCCTGCAGAGCTTCCCTCAGTAGAAGTGCAGGTGTGGGTACTCATACAAGTACTTGTTCAGTAAACATACTGCTATGGATACCCGATGCAGTATCTACATCAGCATAATTACTGAGAATTTTCGAAGTACCCATATCGAGTACCTTGCTGAGGCTTTCTCGGTACATGGGTACCCTTAGCTCAGTACATTCACTAGGGTATCGTTCTTCTCAATTTTTTATTCATCATAACTAACAGTGAGAGAAAGGATTCGTTTTACTTTTGGTTTATCGAACCGATTTCTCATTTTTTGTGGAATGATTTTCATTGTTTCATCTTTATTTCTTTATCATATGTTTCAATCAAATAATAAAGGAATTAAACCTACACTTCGATACATAACTCTGCCATAACAATGTTATATTGAACCATCATCCAATTAAACATGTATTTTGAAAGGTATCCTTCAGAATACAAAGCCTAACTTATACGATAAAACGTAATTATGCATGAGCATGATTCATATGATTTGTTTTTCAAAAGACACATTACCTTTTGTGTACATTTAACTTCAACAAAAATGCGAAAACATGCGCACATCATACCAAATATTCCTATGGAGAATGCTTTTGCGTTTAATTTACAGACATTTCGCCTAATACAGAAAAAAATGGATATTTCATCAACGTTCATAGTGTACAAAGATGTTACGAAACAGACTCGGGGCCATCTAGGTTAGCAACAGCTACAATCACTCTTAAAAGACGTGATTTCTTAGAAAAAATTGTTTTACAGTCCAATCTTTGGCGAACGATCAGAAGCAATGCCAAAGACCTATAAACTTCATATATAACTTTTGAAAGTCGAAGTCTCGATATGAATAATTTTATTTACTGTGTATCTATTCGGTTTTTCTTTGTGTGAGATTCTATTTCAAATTGAATAATAGAATATCTCAAAGTCAAATTATAGCTAAAGTAAATATTTTATGGTGGAGAATTCAAACGTCGTCTTCTATCTTTACCAAACTTAAAGAGGGCTTTGTGCACAATGTGGTGTGGGTGTGGATGTGGATGTTGGTATGGGTGTGTTCTTAATTAAAACCCACACCCACACCACATCCACATCTGCACCCACATCAACATCCACATCTGTACCCGCACCTACACGTGCACCACCCACACCCTCACACCCACACCCACACCCTCACTCACACACACACACACCCACACCCTGATATAATATATCTTTACTTGTGTAATATACATGGTATTTTCTTATATAAACGACGCTTTACTACATCATTTATTCATACCATGAATGTTGGTGTATCGATAGTGTTATGTACAACATCTTTATTTCTAAATTAAATTAAAATATTTTAATACCGTAAGCAAAACTTATTTTACAATTAAAAAGAACAATAAATTTTTATTATTCAATAAAAGAACTCCAGATCGTCCTGAATTTTATGATAGATAAGATTTCTTTTTAAATGATCTGGTATAAAGCATATAGGAGAGTAAGTATGATTAACGCTTTGGTGACCAATGACGCATATATGTGCCATGAGTTTCACTATTTCATGAAAGTGTAACTAAATGACTCATAATACATATTTTTTATTGCATTTGCACAAAATCAAACGTCAGTCAGTAGGAACCTGCCATATCGTAAGTTTTTATGGAATTGCGATTAAAAAGTATACATTATCAATCATTTGGCTAGTTTCACACAGTGATGAAACTCGTGATGCATATATGCGTCATCGGTAATCAAAGGGTGAACAATGTACAGAAATTCATCTCTTTGCTATAGTTTTGTCCTCCTAAGAACTTAGTTTTGAACACTTATAGAGAACTTGCACTGTCTGAGGTAGTTGTTATTCACATTTAACACAAGTAGATATGGTAAATATACGTAATCATGACAAGATTGCATCATATTGTAGGGAATCCAGTAACCTAAAAGTTGAGTAAATATTGACGCTCATACTTCATACCATAAGAAAAGAAAGACACGTTTCAACAAACATTCTTGCATCATTCTCAACAGAAATGAATCATATTGCATCATATCGAACTGCAATAAATTGAAATTTAGTGCACAATAATATGTTATATAAAACTCGAAGAATTTAATTTGAAAAGTATTATTTTCTTTGATCATTGATTGAAATACGAGTAGTATGAGCCAAGAATTTCTCGTTGTCGACCGTTATTCAACCGTTCTAGAAGAAATTAAACAATTTAGTGAAGATGAACAAATAAGCAAACATATTTCACTCGAAGGGTTGACTTCAAAAGAGCGCTGTCAAATCTACGATATCATTGAAACACGTTACAATGAGGAGCTTCAATACGAAAAACAATCATTACTACGTGGCAAAGATAAACAAGTCGTGTTGATTATAACAAAAGTAACCGATAAGACAGATGCAAGAACAAAACCCATGCTGACTGATGATACCGTTGTTGAATATTTTTGCAAATACACCAAATTACCATTACCGATTATGAATCACAAGTTTATTGATTATTATCTCGATATTTTAGATCCTTACACTCATTGTCGTAAAATGTTCATTCAGTTTTTACAAGATATTGAAACACATAGAACTGTTCATCAATTGAATGGTCATATTAACCAAGTATTAGATAATATTCTACATCATATAACCGAACATCCTTCTTTCAAGATATTCAAAAATAACAAATTTGAAACAGAGCTAAGTTTTCTTAAGTCAAGTCCATACAAAACACGTCATGCATTTTATACAAAAGAAAATCAAGACAAATTATTCATTTCTATTGATATCAATAAAGCTGATTATACTATTCTGAAACATTATCATCCAGATATCTTTCGAAATATGTCTACTTGGGAGGAATTTGTGCAATCTTTCTGCCATGAAAAACCAATTCATACACTTATAAATTCTAAGCCTCATCGAGAACGAATTTTTGGAGATGCTCAATTGACCAACAAAACCAAATTCTTATCAGAATATTTTATTCATAAGGTTTTACACGAAATGAGCTGTCTTCCTAGCGATATAGCCATGCTGTCCGGCGACGAAGCTATTCTTTCATACGATCCTTTCACATTTCGTTCTATGACTGATCGTTATCATGGCAGTTTTTTTAAAGTACTGCCCTTTCGATTATTGAAATTGCCTAAATACGATTACTTTGTCAAAGAATACTTCGATCCTTTACAAACAATAGATGACTATCAAATTGTAGTTACTCATCGAGAATTTAAATCCATACCACGACTTTTTCTCATGCAATGCATCAAACAATATGAAAATAAACCAATTCTCGAAGTAGATCGAAAGTTTTTAACCGAGTCAGGTCATACAGCAACTTTAGATGAACCAATTTTTTGATGTGTTTTTAACATCTGATTAAAATACAGACTTAAGATACTATGAAAACTGTTAATCAAAAAAAAATATATGTATAAATCGAACTTTATTTTTGATGTGATATATCTCTTGATAACATGGAATGTTTCAAATAAAATCATCTGTATAGCAATTAATATATATATATATACTAGATAAACGAGATGTACTACAATGATGAAATTAAACTTCTTAAATGTCACTATGAATTACGTAAGAATGAGTGTCTGACAAAAATCAGTTACTGGAGGACATCGATACTGGAATGACATTTCAGAATTTGCTGATTTGGGTGGGTGTGGATGCGGGTGTAGGTGTGTGGGGTGGGTGTGGGTGTGAGTGTAGATGTGTGGGGTGGGTATGGGTGTGGGTGTAGGGTATGAGTGTGCGTGTGAGTGAGGGTGTGGATGTGTTTCTTTTCTTTTCTTTTCTTTTCACACGCACACTCACATCCCAGCTAAGTATCTAGCTTACTATCACGATTAGAGTTTAATCTTGAAGTCTCGAAATTTTCTTTTTCATTCTTCTTGAAAGTTATTTGAATTATTTGAGTTCATCATTTAATAATTTTCTCGAAAATATTTTCTT